AACTCCACACTCAATAAGAGATTAGGCATAGAAGTATCAATTATAAAATGATCACAACAATTCATATGGCTAACTTTACTCATGAGCAAGGCTAATTTTAGTAGCACATTACCATACTCTTCAATGTTTGCATCAATTACTCCTCTCAAATATAAACAAAAAAAGATAACAAAATTGTAATGTAAACAATAAAAAATTACTAACTACAAAAGAAATCCTAAATTGAGATACATACAATCAACAACACCTCGCCGTGCTTACCATTCACGCCAGGGGCGTGACTAAGTTGAGGCCACAGTAGGTCCCATGCCATCGAATTTTGATAACAACTTTGATATTATGTGTGTAAGAGGTTGTGTATATGAATAAATCTTGATACTTAAGTCCAATATTTTTCTTTCAAAAAAAAGTCTAATGTAACCTCTAGGCTATGTCACCGGTCTCCGCTCACTAACGATGGAGGAAACCTTCTCTTTGCTAAAAATCAATCCCCACGCACCCCAAAATGGTGGGTTAAAAGGGACAAATCATAAATACCGGCCATCATAGAAGATAATAGGATAAAGATGACAATGAGAAGGAATTGATCTAAGACTCATAAGTTGATAGAAAAACAGAACTACTATCAGTGAAACAATCTCATATTCCTATAAAAAATACCGATCTCTAAATGATGAAAAATTAAAATAACTATCGTCGTAGCCTGTGAAAAATTAACCCTAGCGATTGTAAGAAGGGAGCCACACCACTTCATCGTGAAAAATTAGAAATAACTCCGAAACAAAACATTCGAAAAACAACACAATTCCCTGATCTAAAATCCAAACCCTAAACACATTAGGTTGGAACGTCGCCTACAAATCCCTAAAAATACGGCAATAGACATCTCAACCCCTCATCAAGTTTAAAGATAAGTTATTAAATACTCAACAAACGAAATAGGAAACTATTGAGTAAATTAGGAATAATGATCTATGGTGAGAGGAGAGGAGAAGGCGTGAAGGTGTGAGAGGAGAGGTGTGGCGGCATTACACACTTCGTTACATTCCATTGCATTGCATCATATCAAACATGACCTTAGGGTTATATTTGGTTCATTGTTTTAATGTTTAATTTAGGTCACTCATTTAAAATGGGTCACTTTTTGGAAATGGTAAAAGTTGTCATATTTTGGGAATGAAAACACCCCTAGTAATTTCTCTGTCATTCTTTCATTCCTTTTCACCGTTATAGTAAAAACAAAATACTTTAAATGTTCTATCTAATTTTTTTATTTTATATGCTAAAACAAAAGGTTACTATTAAATAATTTGGGATACGATTGAGATAGTAATCATTGAAATAAGACACTTTTAACATCAACTTACGAAAATGAAGATGAGATCAAAGAAGGTAGCGACATAGCCACTGAAATTGAGTTGGAGTGTTGGACCACTAACAGGAATTATTCATTATTTCATACAAGTGATACAACCTTTAGTAATTTTCTTTAACTACAAATGGGAGGCTTTTATCAAATTTGAGATAGGTTAGGCCCGGCTTCCCTACCTACACCAACGGAAGGGGTTATAAGGGGTAAACCGTAGAATAACTCAATAATATTCCCTTCGTCCCACTATAATTGTTCCATTTTTTCTTTTCCATCCATCCCACCATATTTATGTGGCTCTAATTCATTCTTACTAATTTATTCTCACTTTATCAATTCATTATGAACCACATAACTATACTTTTCTTGAAAACCGCATCACTCTCCTTTGATCCAATCTTAGTGGAGGTAAGTAGTAGTGATTAGAATTAAGATAGCCACAGAGATATTTAGGATTGACCAGGCCGGTTGTTAATCCAGTGAACCGAGCTCGAGTTCGGCTTTGACTGAATCGGGCTTAATAAAGAAAGATCGAATTCGAGTTTGAGTCGAGTTTCAGTTGAGTTGAAAAATTTATGGCTTGATTAGTTTGAATTTGAGTTGTATTCAAGTTTTACCTGTTCTCAAAAATAATATCTTTTTAAACTAAGAATTTGATTTTTATATATTTAAACACATATGTGCAATTATTAATAATTTCTTAAACATAAGTAATAATGTATATTTATAATATGTACTCCCTCCGTCCCATTAACAATGGGACAAGAGGGAGTGACACACAAATTAATAAAAAGTAGTTTATGTGGTTGATATTGAATTGATAAAGTAAGAATAAAGTAAGAACGATTTAGAGCCACACAAATTTTACCAAATTTGGTATGGGACAATCTTAGCGGGACGGACCGATAAGGTAAAATGGGACAATCATAGCGGGACGAAGGTAGTAATATTTAGGGACTACTGTGTAATTTCCATAACTCTGTTTTATTATAAATATACATTATTAATAAGAATAAGTTTTAAATTTTTTCTACCTAGCTAGTTGTCTTTATTTATTAGGATTTTCTTTGTCGTTTATGATTTATTTAAACATAAGATGAACTAAGTTGAATTAGTCCTACAGTCCTACTTAAATCTGCTTGAGCGCGTCCTGAAAATGCCTATTATAATCTGCATAACACTTTTAGAACATTGTTTAAAATGTTAAGCAATATATGAATCTCTAATTTATTTTTAGTAGAAGATAAGTACGTAGTATAACTTTTTTGCATACATCTATACTATAGACATATGATGTAATGTCATAGGTATCAGTTTAAAATAATCAACACAACCTCATAATCGAGTAGCTTAAGAGGTTAATTACGAGTCTATTTTGCATATAATTTGAGTTGACCTGATTTGGTTCGAGTCGAGTTCGAGTCATGCTCGGGTCGTGTAAGAATTGAGTCGAGATAGGATGGAGTAAGAATCAAATCAATCTCGAGTAGTTTGCGTGTGTGCTTGCTAGATTAGCACCCTAGGGGCTAGGGTGGACGAGAAAAAACTTTCAAATAAAGTTCTACCATTCTTGTCAGTTACAAATAAAAAAGTTTTTACTAAATTGGGTTGGGGCTGGCTCCCTACCTACGCTCATAACGGAAGGAGCGTACACTAACAAACTAATAATCGTAAAACTTTATGTTGTTGATACTTTGTACATTGGATCTTCAGTTAATTTATGCAAAATGATGAATTATAAAAATAAATACATTCCCTGTAAAATCAAAGCTTATCAGTCTTGAAACAACACAACCAATTCTTGAATGCAGCTAACAGGTTATAAAAATGAGATTGATGGATTACGTGGAGTAATTAGTTTGAATATATAGTTAATTTTCTTATAAACGAAATTGTCTATGCTAAAATTTTAAAATAATAATTGAAGATATAAGTTTCATGCGATCACGCAAACAACTCCACACTCAATAAGAGATTAGGCATAGAAGTATCAATTATAAAATGATCAGAACAATTCATATGGCTGACTTTACTCATGAGCAAGGCTAATTTTGGTAACACATTACCATACTCTTCAATGTTTGCATCAACTATTCCTCTCAAATATAAACAAAAAAAAAATTAGTGTAAACAATAACAAATTACTGACTGCAAAAAAAATCCTATATTGAGATACATACAATCAATGACACGTCGCCCGTGCTTACCATTCACGCCAAGGGCGTGGCTAAGTTGGGGCCACAGTAGGTCCCATGCCATCAAATTTTGATAACAACTTTGATATTATGTGTGTAAGAGATTGTGTATAAGAATAAATCTTGATACTCTAAGTCCAATATTTTTCTTTCAAAAAAAGTCTAATCTAACCTCTAGGCTATGTCACCGGTCCCCCCTCACAACGATGGAGGAAACCTTCTCTTTGCAGCAAAAAGGGATAAATGGTGGGTTAAAAGGGAGAAATCATCAATACCATCATATAAGATAATAGGATAAAGATGAGAATGAAGAGGAATTGATCTAAGACTCATAAGTTGATAGAAAAACATATCTACTATCAGTGAAACAATCTCATATACCTATAAAAAAATCCGATCTCTAAATGATGAAAAATCAAAACGACTATCGTCGTAGCCTGTGAAAAATTAGCCCCAGCGATTGTAAGAAGGGAGCCACACCGTTTCATCGTGAAAAATTAGAAATAGCTCCGAAACAAAACATTTGAAAACCGACACAATTCCATGATCCAAACTCCAAACCCTAAACACATTAGGTTGGAAGGTCGCCTATAAATCCCTAAAAATCCTACAATAGACCTCTCAACCAGTTGCTATACCGTGGGAGCGGTGCATGGTGAGCATCGTGCTCCCAAGGTTACATGAAATGTAAATCGTGTGAATTCACATGTAACTTAAGGTTTATCAAAGTGTAAATTATACTCATTCAGATGTAACTCGTTGAAATGTAAATTCCTTTAATTGAAATGTAACTCAGAAGCAAGTGAGATGCAACATGGGAAATGTAACTTCAGCCCTTTGAAATGTAAAACGCCTTTACAGACATGTAACTTCCGGCCAAAAATACACACTATTATATAGCTACACCTTCTTGTAGATTGCAGAAGGCACTTAGTCAATTTGCAAGTTATTTCTATTTAAAATGATGGAAATTCAGGATTCTTTGGCCGAATTAATGAAGTTGGTAAGGAAAGAGGATAAGGAGGGTTGCTTATTGAAGGACTTCCTGCAGGTTGGTGGCAGCGATTTGAAAGGATTGATCCACAACATAAAGAGAATGGAGAAATTCAGTCTCATGCCGCTCTTTTTTATTTGCGAATTGATGTTCTTTTGATCCCAAGAAGATTTACTTTGATGCTCTGTTTTTATGTTGCTCCCTTATCGATCGATTGATGCCGTTTTGTGATCAATAAAATGATGCCGTTTTGGGCCGTGCACACAGTGTGCCGATCCCACGATATAATTTGCGTCTCTCAACCTCTCGTCAAGTTTAAAGATAAGTTATTAAATACTCAACTTAAATAGGAAATTATTGAGTAAATTGGGAATAATGATCAAATCATAAATTATTATAATAAAGAAAGATTGCCTTTAAGGAATGGGAATGGGATTAAGGCGTTGACGGCACTGTCTTAGGGGAAAGACCGAAAGAAAGAAAATGCACTGTATTTTATACTATAAATACAAGTCACAACCGCCAACACCATAACTTGCACTCAAAAAATCAAAACTGATTAGAAAATGGCGGAAGCAACAACTCTGTTTCTAACTTCCTCCCTCCTCTTCCTCCTTCTCGTCTCTCTTCCGCTTCCATCATCAGGAGATGGAGGGTTATTCGTGCCTTCCAGTAATAATCCTCGTTACCCGATTACCCAAGTGGGGGAGAATTTGATCAGGCAGCTAAACCTGTTTCCCGGCCGCCATGATCACCTCAGGAAAGAAGGCGGCGGGGCAGTTCCCGTCGACGAGCCGAGGCTTATCGAGAAGCGGTTGGAGCTCGATTACCCCGGCAAGTCTGATTCTACTCTTGAAAACCTAGGCCACCATGCCGGCTATGTTAAGCTTCAACATACTAAAGATGCAAAGTATGTATCTATAACAAATCGCTTGGTTTTGAAGTATTTGTCCCACATCGGATTAGTAGTATTTTTCATTAGAATTGTATAATTGAATGTTCAAATATACTTCAATTGCAGGATGTTCTACTTCTTCTTTGAGTCGAGAGGAAACAGAAAGAGCGACCCGGTGGTGATATGGCTGACGGGAGGGCCGGGATGCAGCAGCGAGTTGGCTTTGTTCTATGAGAATGGACCCTTTCACATTCATCAAAATTTGTCTCTTACTTGGAATGATTATGGTTGGGACAAGGTTAGTACCCCTCACGTCCAAATACAAAGGCTCTTACTATTTCTATACATGGAAACATCAAGTCAAAGTATTGATCATATTCTCAGTGTTCTGGACTCCTGTGCAAAATAACTACGATGATAATGAATAACAAACCGGTTTCGAGTATAGGGCGTGTTTGACATTTAGCGATTGACGGTTAGCGAATAGCGGTTTAAGTCAGTGGGTTGTCAATAACGGATTCTGTCAGCGGGGTTGACTATCGAAATAAGTTGGCGGGTTGACGCCAGGACACGTTTGATAGTTTAGCTTTCTGATCATAAAATTAGTAGAAAACGTCATTTTCAAAACATTAACCCAAAACGCTCCTATTTGCAGTGTTTTCATTTCAGCGGTTCTGATCGAGGCTAGGGCCGAATAGTCATTTACCAAACAGTGTTTTCATTTATTGAAAACGCTAAAAGTGGTCAAACTAACATTTTTTGCTGAAACGCTATTTGCCAAACACCCCGTTAACTGAAATCTTATACTCAGTATAGTAATAGTAATGATCATATGCCGAATAATTGACATTTGTTACAAAACAATCTCTATTTCCATTTTAAGCGCGTTCTCATTAATTCCCTTTTTATGAGCCTTCATTTGATATATTCCTTTTTTGTTGTTGTTGCAATATTATCAGTTTATGATCAGTAACATATACTACTACTAGTAGTTTATTAGCTGGGACCTAATAGATAATTGATTATACTAATGAAAAAATCGTACACTAGTAAAAGTGATAGTCAAACTATTTGAAATAAAGAGATAGATGTTATTATTGTTTGTCTTTATATATAGTACTCCAGATCATGTTTGACGCATTATTACTTCCATTAACGTGTTTTTCTTTTGTATTGGCATTAATATTAAGAAATAATCAAGCTTTATACAAAAGTAAGATAAAATATACGGAGAACCATAAAAGTAGTATATACAATGTAGCACTTAAGGATGAAGAGAACTCATGGGAGAAAGTAATTAAGGAATCGCATGCTGACGATCGCTGATACCATACATAGAAAATGTTGTTAATAAAATGAAAATTATGATAGATGGATGGTACAAATAAATTGAGCAGTCCCACTAGCAAGTTTAAGGAAGGATTTAGAAATGAAGAGTTCGGTCCTAGACTAGACCAAATCAGACTTAACAGACCAGACTAGTTCAGATCAGACAAGACCAGACTTCTATAGTTATAAAATACACAGAGACCAGACGTTTACCAGACCAGTTCAGACCAGACCAGATCACATTTAAACAGATCAGAACAGACCAGCAAATTTTAGTCCAAGTAAAAATATCCTTATACTAATCATATCATATTATCAATTAATGAATCTAAGGTTTTCTTTTAATCGGTGATACTATCTTATAATATGTAGTAGAACCTCTAGGATGTTTGCAATTGAACTAGATTTTTTAATGGTCTATACTAATTTGTTTAAACCTAATACTACCTTCGTCCCTTAAAACTTTGCCAAAGTTGACTGGCACGGAGAATAATAAGGTAAAAACCGTGTGGTTAAGGTTTGTGCAGAGGAGAGAGATAACAGAAATCACAAAATAATTGATTAAAACGGAAAGTGACAAAGTTTTTTGAGACAACCAAAAAAGGAAAGATGACAAAGTTTTAAGGGACAGAGGGAATACATAGTAGAACTTTTAGGATGTAAGCAAATTCACAATTGTCTAGATATGATCTGGTCTAGAACTTTTAGCTGGTCTCGATTGGGCCTAAAACCTAACTATATAAAAACAAAAACTTTTATGCAAATATATATGACTTCGATCATTATAAAATTGTGTATAATATACAGCCTTACTATAGCTATTCATTTTCATGAGTATGAATGTATGATAACCCACTACAAAAATGAATGACCATACGATTCCACAGTGGAGGCATACATGTTTCCACAAAATCATCTACTCTCTCAATCAAATTCGCACTCTCTTTTTGGGTAGATTCAAAATAAACTTCACACTTCTCTCATCCTTATTTGGCAAATTATCTACATCAAAACAGTGCAACAGTGCCAAACAGTATACTCTACCGTAAAGTCAAATTTATTTCCTTAATTTGTGTGAAGTCAGACACTGAATTTATTTTGGGACCGGAGGGAGTATATAAAAACATCCTAATAATCCTAAAATTCGAAGTGATGTTTTAGACAAATTGCTATTTATCAAGGAAATGTGAGTACATTTATAATGTATCTTTAAGCTTCCATTAAACCATTCAATGTATGTATCATCATCAAATGAATACACACATAAAACCGACAATCAAATCATGGATCTCTTTTGATAGGTAGGGCATCATTATATTTAAAATTGATCTACTAATTTTTAAAGTGGTGATCATTCTTGATCGCTTTCAAATACCAAATAAATTGTAATGAGTGGTGGCCAGATTTCCCGCCTATCAAAACACTAACAGATAAAAAAATCCAATACAAATTATTCAATTAGGAATTTTTTGTTATTTTAAAAATCCCATTACCAACAGTTGGATTATTTCTAATTTTCTATTCCACAAATAAAACAGTGAGATTCTTTCTAGCCAGCTAGTACACGTGAACGAGTGTAGAGTGGTTCAACCCCTTATTGACTTGAAGCACTTCGAATTAATTTTAACACTTTACTGAAAAGTCATTATATTCAATAATGTGCAATCTAATGACCCAAGACGAAATTTCATTGATTTACTCCTTTGGTTGCAGATTTCAAACCTTATCTATGTGGATCAGCCAACTGGAACTGGTTTCAGCTATAGTTCAGATCAGAGTGACACTCGCCATGACGAAAATGGCGTCAGCAACGACCTCTACGACTTCTTACAGGTCTACCTTAACTGTTTAAAATGGGAGAATTCTCGTTCTTCATTACGCCAACATACTCTGTAAATTTACTCGTCATGAATTGAATGGATAGTTTAATTTATATACTAAGGGACATGAAGATGAATTCATTACATTCTTTGATCAGACATGAAAATAGCCACTTTTTCTTGGTAGAAATCATATTAACATTCTTTGGTCAGTCACGCTCATATTTTGAGGCATATTAATTCTTGATTAGTTCTGCAAAACTCATCAGTTTTGTAAAATGGTATGAATGGGCAGGCCTTTTTCGAGAAACACCCTGAGTATGTCGAAAACGATTTCTTCATAACGGGGGAATCATATGCTGGGCATTACATTCCTGCATTTGCTTCCCGTGTTAACGAGGGGAACAAGATAAAGGAAGGAATTCATATAAACCTCAAGGTATATATAGCAGCATAGTCCATTTCCCATACAATATACTTCATATGTAATTTGGTTTCCGACTTTCCGTTCAACCCTGTGATATACGTTGTTCGGCTTGCGATTTTCAACCAGGGATTTGCCATTGGCAATGGACTCACAAATCCGTCAATCCAATATCCAGCCTATACTGACTATGCTTTGGAGCAAAAATTGATCAATAAGAGTGATTATTACAGAATAAACAAGGATATTCCATCTTGTCAAGCAGGAATTAAGAGTTGTGGTAAATTAGCACTTTTATTCAATCTATATTCCAATTATACTCTTCAATTTGGCATATTTTTTCTAGGCTTGGACTCGGGCCGCCGGTTCCGTATCCATAGGCCCGAGACCGGCCCGGGTCTTGACCGGTTCCGGGCCGGTTCTGGTTCATTTTTTTTATTCTTATTTATTTCACCCCCCACCCCCCATCCCCCCCAACCCCCCAAACCCCTCAGAAATACCCAGCCCAGCCCAACTAACCCCAGCCCAAACCAAAAAAATCAAAAATAAATAAAAAAAGGCCCGAACCGGGCCAGGCCCGGCCGGGCCGGTTCCCCTTTTCCCTTACCCGTGCCCGGAACCGGTAGACCCCCCGGGTCTAGGCCCGAACCGGAACCGGACCCGGTTTCCCGGGCCGGGCCAGTTCCGCACAGTAGCGGGCCGGTTCCCGGACCGGGTGGCCCGCACCGAGTCCAAACCTAATTTTTTCCCTGATATTGAGTTTCCATGCATTTTGGTCTTTTCATCAGGAACCCAGGGGGGAGATGCTTGTCAGGATGCTTTTTATACATGCACAAAGATCTTCAATGAAATAAGGACGATTATAGGCGATACAAACGTAAGAAATTAGGACATCTTGTTTTTGGTGCACAGGAGCACTAATGTTGCGTTTGAAAAAATTAGCTGGTAACAAAATAAGTTGGTTTCTATCATATAGCTTAGAATTAAGTATCTGATTTCATAAAAATCTTAGGTAAACCAAACTAATTATGCTCAGGCCTATTGAATAACTTGCATGAACCAAACAAAAAATAAGCTATAATCAGTTACTTGACGTTTGCCTTATGGTTTGCAATATCTGATAGAAGAGTTAAAAATCATGTCTATTCTGAAATGCAGTTCTATGATATTCGGACAACCTGTGACGGACCTCTCTGCTATGACTTCTCAAACATGGAAACTTACCTCAATATGAATAGAGTTAGAAAAGCTCTTGGGGTCGGGAACATTGATTTTGTTTCGTGTAATAGTGATGTGTACGAGGCGATGATACTGGACTGGATGAGAAATCTTGAAGCTGGCATTCCTACCCTGCTTGAGGATGGAATCAATATGCTAATATATGCTGGCGAATTTGATCTTATCTGTAACTGGCTTGGTATGTACCTAATTGAGTTCTGGGTCATTTATGATAGTACTATTACTAAGAGAATGCCAATACAAAGCTATAACATAAAAATACTACTAGTAAAACTACCACTTATAACGTTATTAATAAACATAGTAATAATACTAATAATAACAATATCAGTAACAATAATAATAAAACTGCACCTGTTTTTGGGATGAACAGGAAACTCAAGATGGATTCATGCCATGGAATGGCCTGGTCAGAAAAACTTCGGCATAGCACCTAATGTTTCATTTACTGTTGATGGAAAGGTGAAAGGAACACAAAAGAGCTATGGACCACTCACTTTCCTAAAGGTCAATGATGCTGGACACATGGTTCCAATGGATCAGCCTAAGGCAGCATTAGTAATGCTCCAGAGGTGGATGCAAGGCAAACTTACCTCAACGGCGTCTCCCATGTAATTACCATAAAGAAACAACACTCCAAAAGTATTATTGTTTTATACTGCTTCATTGATATGAAAGTTTAATTTATTCATGTACATGAAAGTTCAACCTATGGGTTTATATTTCGAATTTGCATCTAAAATGGCCCTTTCACTAAGTGTACCACATAAACAAGTAAATATTTCAGGCATAAGGCAGTATGTATCAGGCCTACACATTAAACACAACAAGACATAGAAACCATCCTTCATCCAAAAGCATTATGGCTTTCTTTATAACTAGTAAAATTTTAAGTCATGTTGATCTTCTATAAAAGGAACCCAAATATTTTACCAACTCTTGAAAAGAAATCATTGTGTAGTACCTTGATTAAACCAAAACTATTACGGTACAATCAGTAGTCTTACATAATATGGTGAGCTCAAATTGAGAAATGAAATCAATGAAGGTCCAAAAACCCACATAGAAAGAACCAGTGTACGTAACATTATAAGAATTTCATTATACGAAAATACTCAGTAATATAATACAAACATACATTTTCTAGAAAAATAAGGAAGCAGGAGCAAATAAAAAAGAAAATGGTGGCAGTGAAGACGTTAGAGATTCTGTGACATCAAAAATAAAAAATATTATTACAAGACTGCATTTACTAAATACAATTCCCTCAAAGTTGTAATTATGGGCTGAAAACCACACCTCAAGGGAACTACTGAAAGCACTCTGAGATTACGTGCATTCCCATTTTTGGGCTGTGACAAGGTCATCCTCAGCATCTCCCCCTCCAGAGCTTTACCTGCACTTCTAGCTGCATTAAATGTACTCAATAAGTAGAATATAATGGTGATCTGAATAGCTTCATTCTTTCCAGAGAATCACCAGCTTTTCTTCTTCTCTTACATTGAAATCAAAGGTGTTCCAATTTTTGTAAAATAGCCTTGTTATTTTATGTTGTAATATCCCTACATGGAAGCATTAGTAAATGGGCTGATGGAGTATATGGGTCAGACCCCACGACCCACATACTCAGAAGACTAAGAGGAAGCACAGGAAGCACAGTTGTCATCCGTCGGCCACAGAGACTTCGAATAGCTAGAATTCATACTTAGCCAATTTACATATTTTCTATTCAGCCCAATAGTGGCCTCATTCTAAACGAGCTTCCCAAGCCCAAGACTTGAGAGCCCAACCCATATTTTCACAATAAATACTCCTATTGGGGGTAGTTGCAAGGGGTTGACATATACATTAATTGCATATTTATTGCACTTCTTTCTCTATCTCTCACTTCTCTTAAGAGTTAATACTCTTAGTCCGTCAAATTTTCCTAAGTGCAATTTAGTGCGTTATGGTCATTCAAACTGTTCAATCCGTTGCTACTTGATTCCTTCCCATCCAAATGCTATCATCAATGCGTGTAAGATTATAAAATGATGGTCTTCATGCTACAATGGAACAAAACATCAAAAATTGCATGACTTCATTACAAAGGCCAGACAGACTTAAATGACTACTTTATAGAATACTTGAGAGGCTAGATTGCAAGAAATTGACCACGACAGAATACATAGCAAAACCACAAACATTCGAGGATCTAAGGATGTTTTTAGTTGGGCTAATTTCAATCCCGGAACAGACCATCCCAAGCCAAACTTCCGCAGTTGTAAATAAATAGACTAGACTAGAGGTCAAACATCTGCCCGACCAGAGTTTCCCTTCAACAGAGTGTCTACTTGCTACGAAATACATTCATTTTTCTGAGCTTCCTACCGTTTCTGCTCAAGAAGAAGCAGCTAGAAATATAGCCACTAACCAATCTGGAATAAGAAACATGAATAGTCAGAGTTCAAATGTTCTTTTAATTTTTGAAGGAACGTTATTCCCCAAGAAACTAATCAAACTACTTTTACCAGGCACAAAATCCTACTTCCGAATACCACATAGAGAAATTGACGAGTGGAAATTAATTACCTGCAAAAGGATGAGTCTTGGTAAACTCAAAGAACTCGTCAGCGGAGCAGCCAAACAGAACCCTAGCCGCTCTGTCAAACATTATCACCACGAATACCTTGGTATCCGTCGCTATAGACATCTGCAATATCATTTACCAATAAACCCAATAATACAAAAATAACCCATCATTCAAAAATACCTAAAGCTCAATAGAGGTATTCGGTTTCATACAAGGACACGGAAGAGTAGTTTGGAAGCAGAGGGTGTTGGGTTGGAGGAAGCTGAAGAAGAACAGTACATACAAACGGGTGAGGGAGTGTCGGGGTTGGGGTCAGGGAGTGGTCTTTCACATCCAGCGCAGACTCTATAGTATAAAGAAGAGTGATCCACGGCGACAACCACGCAGTTTGTGGTGGTAGTCGTCAGGGCAGCTTCTGTTGGGAAGGGCCTTTTTATCTGGTTTTGAATCTCATTGGCGTTGCTGGACGACCATTCAGTATTCATGGTGGATAACTACTCAAGAGGGTGTTCGTCTACCGGATAAAAGAGAAAAGTGTCATTTCGTACATCGTAAGGCTGCCCACAACGCTCTCCCTGCAATAAATCAAATTTATGGATATACAAGTACTCACTGGGTCAATCAATTTTTCTCTGTAATTCAATACCATCAATATATTCAATCACCATAGGTTTTTTAAAAAAATAAATGTATAAATCCTTACTTTTATTATTACACATCAATTATATGACACTATTTTTACAAATATTTATGATTTAAAAAGTCAAACATTTCGATTCAAAAAAATAAATTTTTACAAAATAATATTTTTTACAATTTATTTTTAATTTTAGCAAGCCTTTAAATGTTGGCCTTTAAATTTTTACTTTATATATTTGATATTAGTGTCATATGAAAGATCATAAATTTTTCTTGTGCCCACATATTTTCGTACGCATGATGTCTGTTTTTCTCCTGTGCACACAACCTTACCCTCTCTCTTCGGGTCAAGTCATCTAATTCCCACTCCCAAAGTGCCATATACCCACTTTGACACCCTCTTATACATTGGGTTGGAGTAGTTTTTGAGGTGAAAAGCTCAAATATGGCTTATTCATCCCGGGGTTGCTGTTAGTCTAAGGGGGTTTAAACAATACTCCCTCCGTCCCTAAATTATCTTCAAACTTTCCTTTTTCGTCCGTCCCAAAATTATCTCATCTTCCCCCTTTTAGCAAAAAATTTGTGGTTCACAACCATTCTTACACATTCTTACACATTTCTCTCTCCTCTGCACAACTCTCCACCACACAAATCCCATTATCTTAATAAATGTGCCCAGCCCAAAAGGGAGAAAGATTAGGGACGGAGGGAGTACATCATTGTGCAAAGGGGTTGCTTTCGGTAACCATAGGGTTACTCTTTTGCCCTCTTCAGCTTTTTAAACTACTTCATCAGTTCCTTATAATTTTGCCAATTTTGACCGGCACGAGTATTAATAAAGTAAAAACTGTGTGACTGAGGTTTGTACAGAGGAGAGAGAATTAACTGGATCCACAAATTCTTTACGTAAAAGAAAAAGTGACAAAGTTAATGACACATCCAAAAAAAGAAAAATTACAAAGTTTTAAGAGACGGAGGGAGTATAATAAAAATACGGAGCCACACGTGTAATTAATAAGATCAAATAAGTAACCCTTATAACTAGGTGGAATCTCCACACACTAGTAATTCCATTCAAAAAAATGGATCTGTCATCCAATAGTTTGATAGTTTGATGACATGTGATAAGCAATGCTTTTATTAAAAATGGATCCCCCATTTGTTTGTATTTCATGTCATTACAATTACTCTTAGTTCATTTATGTTGTGCTTCTTTGAGTTGATGGTTTCGGTTAATGGTCCTTGGTCCCAATTGCATGGTTTTAGTTCAAATTTGAGATGATGGTTATGCCATTTGGTTTTATTTCATGCCATTACAATTGCTTTTAATTAATGTATGTTGTGCTTGTTTGAGTTAATGATTTGCATACAAATTTCAGTCTATGATTTCAGTTCATTGTTTCAATAAAGAATGTTTCAGTTCATGCTCATGCGTTGAGTTTAAATATCAGTTCATGGTTTGACAAAATGGTTTCACTTCATGGTTCTTTCAGTTCATGGTTCTTTACAAACAACAATTGTAGCAAAGAAACTGACACACATTCCAATCTATTACTCCATGCCAGCCTCACACACCTTCGAATCTACCTTCTTCTTGCTTTCACTGTCATAGCAAACAACTCATATCAATAGCAGCATCATTGCACCTGCAATGCACCACAAGACACTCCATATCCTCTGTTTTTTGGACAACCCTTTTGCCTTAGCCTTCTCCTCAGCAAGCTCAACTTCCAATTTGTTTACTTTCCTCAACAAATCAGGAATAATCGTCTTGGACCTAAAACACATTTCTGGATCAATCCATTCAAACATATTGCAACAGCCACCTATACCCTATTTTTAATAATAACATTAGGTCAAGAACAATCAAAATGCATAACAAATAAGAAATAACTAATTTTAAGGGAAAATCGCACATTTGACCCCCCCAATTATCCACCATATTGAAATCCCAAACTCGTGTTTCAGGTTTTCTAAATTTCACCCCCGAGTTGTCCGAATAATTATAAATGTCACTCCTGCCGTTATAATTATTCGGACAACTCGGTGGTGAAATTTATAATTATTCGGACAACTCGGGGTGAAATTTATAACGGCAGGGGTGACATTTATAATTATTCGAACAACTGGGGGGTGAAATTTAGAAAACCTGAAACACGGGTTTGAGATTTCAATATGGTGGATATATGGGGGGTCGAATGTGCGATTTTCCCTAATTTTAATCATTCGAATACCCTTACTCTTGAGCAAGCAATGAACCGTCTCCCTGGATTTTGATTTGTCCATGAAGTCATCATCTTTAAAGGAATTCCCAAACTTGATACACGAATGGAATAGGTTGATTTTCGTGATGTTGTCAACAGAAGAGAAGATAAACAAACAACACAAACCAACGGAGAAGTCGCTAGAGGAAAAGCCAATATCGACTGGAAGAGAAGAGAACCAACAGACCTTCACTGTAAAATTTTACGCTGATCTGGTATTCTAGGGTTCGATATAAAAGGATAAGCACGATGTTGACTTGGACGCCACCGTTTACCACACGACTAATATTTTCCACCTGGGCATTTTAAACTCCCTAATAACCTGATGGACTAAATTAGCACCGCTTTGGCGATTTAATGTACCTCTGAATCACACTTGCACAATGATGTACTTTTTACACCCTCGCTTACAACTTGATGTACCTCTAAATGTTATTAAAAGTGATATTTTTGCCATGTCCATTGCTAAGCCCTTTATATCCAAAGACCCCTTCCACTCATTTCTTGTTCGGACCAATCCTCCTCCCAAAACTAAGAAGTTGTTCTCTTCGTCTTAATCTTATTACTTATTCCTTATTCTTATTTTATTCAGATCAGATCAGATCAGAAAGATTCAGATCAGATCAGATCAGATCAGATCAGATCAGAAACATTCAGATCAGATCAGAAGCATTCAGATCAGATCAGAAGCATTCAAATCCGATCAGAAACATTCAGATCAGATCAGATTAGTTCAGAAATATTCATACAAAATTGGAAGCATTATATTATTATCTATTATGTATATATTACTATTACTATTATTACTATTATTATTGTTATTTTTTTTTATTATTATTATTAATATAATTACTATTATTATTACTATTATATAATACTACCTTCGTCCCTTAAAACTTTGCGAAAGTTGATCGGCACGGAGAATAATAAAGTAAAAATTGTGTGGTTGAGTATTCTGCAGAGGAGAGAGAAATAATAGAAACCACGAAATAATTGATTAATAGGAAAAGTGACAAAGTTTTTTGGGATGGAAGTAATAGAAGGAGAGAGAAATAATAGAAATCTCAAATAGTTGAGTTTCATGAATTTTTAGTATTGATTTTTTAATAAATGCTAAAATTGAGTACTCTGTTGGAAATTCAATATCAGCTTGCGATTATGGTATCAACTTTCGCACTGCACAACTTTATCCGTCTTTACGAGTTGGATATTCCAATTTCACATTTATATTTATTGTTTTTTGCAATTGAGTTGTAAGAACAAACTCATGTGTTTGTCATTTCTACGTTACTCTCATTATGTGCAAGAGTTTTATATTGCTTCGTTTATTGTTAAATATTTATATTATTATTAAAAAAGTTATTAATATCACTACTACTACTTATTATTATTATTATTAATATTACTACTACTATTACTTTTATTATTATTATAATTATTATTATTATTATTGTTACGGAGTATTATTTTTATTATACTTATTAAATAATAATAATAATAATATTTATTATTACTATTATAATTGTTATTGATATTATTGTTATTGTTATTGTTATTGTTATTGTTATTATTCTTATTATTATATACCAATTTAAAAAGTTAAGATCAGATCATAAGAATTCAGATCAGATCAGAAACATTCAGATCAGATCAGAAACATTCAGATCAGATCAGAAACATTCAGATCAGAAACATTCAGATCAGATCAGACAGATTCAGATCAGATCAGAAACATTCAGATCAGATCAGACAGATTCAGATCAGAAAGATTCAGATCAGATCAGAAGATCAGAAAGATTCAGATCAGATCAGAAAAATTCAGATCAGATCAGATCAGAACTTAAAAAATCCAGATCAGAAACATTCATATCAGGTGAAGAGAACCGCTTCTAAGAGACCAGCCATCAACTACTAGATTAGCCCCCCTCCAAATTACAACAAAATTAATCTTGGTCATAGCAAATCACTCCCACAGTGGGGCGTACATCAGCTCTCATCCGCGATGACAAGGGCAATTACATTGTCCATGACATTCACATTGATAAGTCTAACAATTGCACTATAGCCTCATATGATGCCATTATTATTATCATTCCTCATTTACAGAAGCTTAGCCTTGATAATATGGTCTTTGAGGTGGAAAATCAAGACATTTATGATGGGATTGCAAGCAAAAACCTTCAACAGTGGGAACATTGATCAAGAATCCGAACAATAAAATCCGAATTCAAGAAGATCAATTGCACAATAACCACAATTAGTCCCCAGATCAACAAGGCAACGGAGTTTTTGGCCTATCACAGCACCTCGATTAAAACCAAAACTCATCATATCATTTTAATCAATTTGTTGACATACTTAAATTTGATGAAAATAGCTACCCTATGTTCTTTAATTTCTGAGTAGACTTTGGCGTGGTCCTCATACTCTTTGTATTTCTCTTTTATCTAATAAATAGGTGAGGTGTTCCCTGACCCTCCTTCCAAAAAACCCCGTTTTTGGATCATCACCGGGCACAAAAAGACCAAACTGACCCTTTTCTCGCTGATAAAATAACTTCGATGATATATGAGTCACGGCGTAGTGGGGTCCTTGATAAAATAACTCCAGGCCAATATCTTTATCTTATCCATTTTATCTTACTTTATCCTTTTATTTTCTTATCTTTCTTCTCTTTTTGGCTCTGATACCATGAATCGATTCATGTT